TGCTAGAGCTACCAGTGAGACCAACTGATGTCTCTGTCAGCATTTGAACCAGATGAGGAGCCATCCCACATTGTTACAGCTGATTTGTAAGCAAGGAGGAAACCTTATGGACCAATTGGTTATGTAACCTGGTATACTGAGGAGATCATGTGGTAAATGAATACAGTTGACTCCACTACTTGTGGAAAATGTTTTTTGAAATATGAAAGCTGCCTCTGGGGAGTGCTCCAACTTTAGAAGGGAATTTCTCTCTGTGTGTTAAAAATGTAAATAACATCTTACTGGATGGTAATACCTTGTTCAATTGTGGTGAGAAAGAGAGCTTTTGTACTATCTGTACTGAAATGTGTACTGTTCATATAATGTGCAATGTTGGGAAAAATATGCTGTTTTTACATAAATGAATCAAGACATGCTATACATACATAAGATTGGACAAATGCAGCCCTTTGATCTATTCAGTTGGCTTGGATTAAGCCACAACTGGGGTATATGGTTGAGTTCTCTCTTCCAAGCAGTCCTGATGAAGGTACTGGGAACAGTCCTACTAGTAACCCTCATTAAATACTGCCTCAAATGATACACAGATGTAGCATCCACTAGAGTTGTACACCAAAATACAGACATGCAGCTCAACATTCAAAATGGATGATAGGCATGCCAAGACTTGTACTACTTTGCTTCTTTTTCTGGCACCCTGATGAGAGTCTGAGGGGACTGTTGGGGGAATGGTCTGCCTCTATGCATTTATGCCTCCCATCAAGGCTGCCCAAGTAAAGGCTTTGAGCTCAGAACATCCTCTGATAAGGAGACTGGGAATTGGGTCGCCTTCTCTCAACCTGTTCCTTCTCCTTATCAGAGAAGTCTTCCCCCTGTTCTGGGCAAACAGTAACTTTCTCTGCCTCTTGCACATGCGTGAGGACCATACGGCACCTGGCCAACCCCACTTCTATATCTGTTCCTGGCAGGGAGGGAATGGGATCTCACATACTACGGCACAAGAGGGGGAATGTGCCAGATTGTAAGAACGAGCCTTGAGGGGCAGATTGAAGGAGAAACAGGCTTTGTGAGGCCAAACATGAGCATCCTCATGTGTTCTGCTAATTCAATATCATTTGCTGAGTCATTCTTATGTAACCCCCTGGCTTGTAGCTACTATTGTCCACCACCACTATAAAACCTCTGCCCTCTCACTGTGGGACATGGAGATCTGCTTTGGTCCTGTGGCCGCTCAGGACTCACCTCGTCCGTAAGTCTCTCTAATAAATTCCTTTGGTGCCACGCTGGAGTTCCCTGCATCTTTCTTTGGTCTCTTGGAACCCTCCATTTTTGGAGACAAGTTTCTACTGGTCCATGCCTGGACTGTAACCTAAACCAAGGCCTTATGTGTAGTCAAGGCTGATATACCTGCAGTATCTTCTCTCCTAGCAAATAGATCCCAGATCCTTTCTCATTCTCATGAACTAAAGGTAATAATGTTCCCACATAGTGGTCAAGCCAGGTCTCCTTTCTCTGGCCCTAGAGATCTGTGGTCTCAGACAATCCTTTCTCCCATTCTCTCTTTATCTTTTCCTATTTTCACTCCCTCCTAAAAACAAAAAAACAAAAAACCAACTTCTACTCCTCCACTTTTTCTCTAGGTGGGGAGCATCAACCTAAGTGGACTCAGTACCTACCTGATCGTGGCATCCCTCCTCAATGAATATAGAGAACTGAGAGGACTCTCAGGGACTGAAGCAGTCTTTACAAGACAGACACTCACTGTCTAGCTTTATACCTCTTCTTTCAAGAGCACAGTCTTTGTTCAAGCTGACAGGGGCAATTTAAATGATAAATATAAATACATGTAGAAAGAAATACTTTCCCTCTGATCACTTGTGCCAGGTGTTGTGACTGCTCCATCTCCAGTAACTTCCTCATTTGCTGTTTTCTCCTGAGGTGGCCTGAGCATAACAGACAAGGAAACAAACTCTATGTCTTCATGACGGCACAGCCTCCCCATCATTTATTGTGTTATGTTCCCAGGTCCTGGGACAATACAGAAATATAAAGAACTGGCATCTCATCAGAAAACTGGCATCATTCACTATGTAGGGCAGCTGTGGGCATTGAAATGGAAGTGAAGGGGAAAGTCCTTAGTTTCTTGACCTTATTCCTTCAAAATGAAACCTACTGAAGACCTTCAGGTGGAAAACAATTGAGCGGATCTGGTGGTTAGTGAAGATCGGAAACACCTGCTCATGACCTAGCCACTCAACGAGTTCATCACTGCAAGACAGAGGTGGTGGTTTCGGTCATTAAACATTTTTATATAGTTATTCTTAGTCATACATTTGTTTCATTTATATCCATATTAGGTCATTGGTTAAAGTTACAGATCATAAGAAGCATTCATGATGAAATATAACTAGTTAATGAGGAGCATAAAATGATCACTCAAAATATAATGAATGTTTTAAAAAGATCACTCAAAACTCACCAGAAGATTATCATTAAAATTAAAA